AGGGAGGGAACAACCCCTCTCCATGGGGACAGGCAACAGAACTTGGCTACTCCCGGGTGTAAACTCACACTGTCTCCTCAAAACCACACATGGATCACATTTCTGCAAGTGAAACAGGCTCAGTTCATAATTACTGAGAGTCTGCTCACTGTCAAAATATTACTGGATATCAGTTTACATGATTTGTAGTGAATATACTATACAAATCTAATGTTTAAGGGCTCTCACTGCAAATTAGTTGGTTCAATTGTACATCATGCAGGAGTATTGTAAGGGATGTGTCAAATGTTTAACGTGTTGATCAAGAAAAGCGGTTAAATGACTTTGACACTTCGTGTGTCCTAAAGGTACCTACACACCCAATAAAGCGTAACTATGAAACACCAATAAGTACAAATTAATTGGTAGACTTTGAAAGACAACAATAAAATGTCCCTTCTATAAAGCTTCTTCTTTCCCATCTTTGAAAGTATTCCATTTTCATTATGCATCTCCCTGTTCAGTTAGAAAGCTGACCTCCTTTCTTGTGTTCATGGTTAAGCTAATATCAGACCTAAAAACAGTTTCCTTATTCAGTCTGGGCTGGTTTTCCTTTTCTCCTCCATGCATTCCCTTTGGAGTATAATAACTTGTACAGTTTTGCTCAAGGTAGCTACACTAAAATACACCTTCATGTCTAGTGAGTTGATCAGTTTTCTTAGAAAAGCAGTTATCACCTTAACAGTTTTTTACCAGATTGATATGCAGATCCTGGCAGGATTCTTTGGTATAATGACAAATTCAGTAGTAAACAGATATTTCCAATCTTTATGCAACAACTGAAATAAGCAGAATAATCACAAGTGGCGACTAAAATGTAGATGAACAAAGTCTTTGGTTGCATAAACACAATTTGTACACCGTAACATTTCATATTTGGAGTTGTCCATGTAGTTTCTTTTCATCTAGGTAGGCTATGCTGATGTCATAATAATATATTTATTTCCTGAAGTCAAATTTGCTTATAAAAAAAAGTAGACTTATCGAAGTCAAATGCAATTTTCCTATAAATGCAGTGAAGGGAAACATTGAGTCAATTTAAATCTAATTTCCTTTCATTTATAAATTTTGAACTTAGGTTTCTTGTTCCCTTTTCAAAAAAAAAAGTATTTTTCTTGTAGGCCTGAATGAAGCAGCTTAGCAAAACAGTAATACTGACAAACAGCATCTTACACCATTAGCTAAACATTACAATGAAGGCAGTGAACATTTACAGTATGAAACACTGAGATGGCATCAGCTGAAGAGAAGATTTATGTCAATCCAATTTCTTCAAGTACACTACGTGGGGTCTCTGCTTCCTATGGAGGGAAAATGTGAGACAGTAGTAAATGAACAGTTTCTACTGAGCGGCGCTGTACATGAGTTAGTATGGAAGATGCTGAATTGAAAGAAAGCTGAAAAGACACGAAAACATGGAAGCACTGCAGTTTGCAAACATGGTATTAGCTGCACTTATCACAGAGCTGTTAATTGGATTGCCATGGTTCACAGGAATAGCTGGTAGATTTTATTGCCTTTAAGCATAATAAAAATAAAACAATTCAGATGTAGCAGCAGGGTACAAATCAGAACTGAGTAACAGAGGTAGGAACTGGGGAGGGATGGGGAAGGATCTTGCAATGGAGTCAGTCAATTTTGTGGTAAATTGTCTCAAGGTCTCAAAAATCTGTTTGGGAGTAACAAATAAATGGGTGAATGAAACTACTGATGCAACTAAGATACAGTATCCCTTAAGATCCTTATTAAAGAGTTTTGGTTTGTTTTGTTTTTTTATACAGTGATAACATGCTTAATGCATAAAACCAGGTCATGGTACCTTGATATGCCTGGTGTTAAACTGATTCCTTTCAAAGCAGGGGGATTATTTAGGACAGGAATTTTATTATTCTACAACAGCCATAACGTTTTAGGTTAATTCTAATCTTAGAAAGCTTCCCTTAGATTCAGGGGAAGTTGTTTAATACCAAATTCCAAAGCATTATCATCAGTTTTGTATTCATTACTTCCATAGCATCTGAAAAGAAATGGTTGAAATTAGAAACATTAGGCTGAGCCTTTCCATAACTATTAACAATGCCTTCCTAAATAAAAGGGGAGGGATACTGTGTCCGTATCAAAACAAAAGCTTTAATATCAAGAGTATGAATAAACTTACTTTAGCATCCTAAAACAAGACATGTCATGCAGCAGAAAAAAAAGGCAGATAACAGTTAAGGCAGCCAACAAATTCTTTTTCAACTGCTTTGCAAATATTTATTAGAAAAATAATGTTGGTAAAACACAAAATTAAATACCTCAAACTTTGCAAATAACATCAGAACATTCCCTCTATCAACCTTGACTATGTGGCACAAAATGATCAAGTTTACTATCATCATTCAGGTCATGTATAAGGTGATTCAGCAGTGAAGGAACAGGCTATGATACTTTAAGGCAACTTCATTCAAAAGTCAGTCAGAGCTTGGAACAGGCTATCTCAGCATTTTCAGATGGCTTCTAAAATCCAGCAGCAAATAAAACTTGCAATAAAAAGGCAAGTTAAATATGAAAACAAGATACTTGGTGTATTAAAGACGTAGTGTTGGCATGTTTTTTTTTCCCTCCACTGATGAAGTATTTAAATATTCTTATAACTGCAGTGACCTTGACAAAGCCAGACAGGTTGGCAGAATTAAAGATTTACACATGTATTTTAACAAATCCCCAAAAGGAGGCACCTGAATAAAGAAATGGCTATGTAGCATTTTTAATATAACTTTTTTTTTTATATTCCCAGATTACTTTGTTGCCTTCATTTTAGAAGACACACCTGTCCCATATCCACCAAAGCATTTTACTCAAGAAATCCTACACTGTTAACTCACTATGGCACCAGAACTCAAGAGCATTCTACAATAATACTTCTCAAGCATTTCAGGGTCTTCAAGACATTTGAAATAAATTCACTTTTCAATTTTAAATTTATTAGACAGCAGCAGGCACTTTAGAGTTATTCAAGAGTGCAACAGGATATTTACAAAGTTACCTGAAAATCAAGTTCTTTATAGCTATGAAGAAATACAGAGCAGTGCTGCCACTGTTTTTAGAGCAGTTTACTATTTCTGTTTTCACTGCCAATTCAAAGTCTGAGATTATTTTCAGCAGGCATATACTTAAACAGTAAGTTTCTTCAAGTAAATCAAGGTCACTGGCTAACCATTAAAAGCAACCTGTTTCAAGGACATTAGCTACTTGTCCACAGATACATCACCCACAGAACTCAGACATATTTTAATTTTTTTTTTAATTACTGAATCAGCAACCTTGAGACAGATGTGCCTTCTTATGTGCTCATCAACAATATGATCTCAAGGAACACCTTATAGGCTAATGTATTTTGCTAGAGGAATAACTTCAGTAATTATTACTTTTAAGAAACAAATAGAATTAATTATATTTTGTTCACATTATTTGTTTTACTAAGTGTCAAACATTTAATCCAATTCTTATGGAATTCTGCAGTGTTACACACTACCTGCAGCTCAGAATCACCCAAGGCAAACAACACAAATTTGAAATATCAGAACACTGATGAGGAAAAAAATTCATTCACATGAGACAAAAGTGCATGCAATACTTTATTTCAAACATGCCAGAAAAGCTAATTCATTACCTAGTCATTTAGAAGCAAGTAGCTGTATACAGATAACAAGAAAAACAGCATCTCATTACAGCTCAATGCACAGCATTTTAAGCCAACAGGCATGAAATAATGCAGGCTAAAGCAGCATTAACCAGACATCCAAACACATTGTTAATGGCTTACAGAAAAAGGCAAACTTGGAAATGGAAAACCACTCCTATGTTCTTGTTTTCTAAGATTTCAGAATGCTGCAAATCCAATCCAAATCTTTTGTCTAACACCCTAAATCTCCCATTTTTATGTCAGTTTAACATTTGGAAGGTAGTGCATTACCACATATAGTACATGGAGCTGGCTTGTTTGTGGTTCTTTTTAGTAACCACCTCCTTGATAATTCATGGAAACAATTTTCAGAATCAGTGCTCCAATACACAAGGCAGCCTGCATTTTAAACTGGAAATGCCAGTTTAAGAAGGCACATTGCAAGTATACTGTTAATGGACTTTCCAATCCTAACCATTAATGATTGGACTCAATAAGCTTAGAGGTCTTTCCCAACCTTAATGATTCTATGATTCCATAATTAATTTGGAAAGCAATGATATTGTTCTCTCTCTCAGTGGCAGTAACTGTGAAATTACTCATAAGAGCATTCTGCTCATTTAAATACAAGTGTTTTAACTTCAGATTTACATATCATTCTTTTTGACATAATCAATTCTGCCTCCCTCCTTTTTGTAAGGTCAGTCACACTATTGTGCCAGTCTTCAGAAAGGGATAGTGTTATCTGCATCTTTAACTAAGATGCATGGTCTAGGTAGAATTTCATTCAGCATCATTCAGTACTTGTGTGTATACACATTTCACATGATACTTCACTACTTTCTCTGTAGGTCTTAACTTCACCTACAGACTTTATGTGTATGTTTAAATACCACCACAACCTATTTAAAAGATAAACGTGGGTGCCAGTGTTATAGGATAGGTGTTGCAGTATATAGATGTTTAGCTCAGAAAATGCTACAGAACTTTCAAGCATAAGACTTCAAGCTTACAGACAATAAAAAAGTTAAACCATATGCCAACAAGCACAAGTTTTGTTGAAATGAGACATGTGAAGAGACAACACTGTAAAACAGAGGGGGGAAGAGGAAAGTACAACAGCAGAGAATGGTTGTGGCATTCTATTAGATTCAGGATGACTGGATTCAGCAAGCTGATGATAATGTTCTGTCATGAGTAAGTCACAGGTCTATCTCCTCTGAAATTCTGCATGCATGATGAATGAAGCCATTTAGTACACTGGTACATTAAAGTATTCATGACGTGGCTACAAAAGAAATGTACACATTCTTATACATAATAGAAAGGTGGACAGATATGCAAGAAAACAAAAATATCATCTTGCCATTGTATCTCTGACATTAAAAGGACATTTGATACAGAAATACAATATTGTATTTTTGACTACACTAGATTTCCAGGGGGTGAGGGTAGTGGGGAGAATCATCATTTTACCCACCCATACTTGCATGCTGTGTCCAACACCAGACAGAACAACTTTACACCATAAACACTTTATTACATAAGCTAAAGGTTTCTTTGTAGCCAAAAAAAGTTTGAAGCTCCAGGGATGAACCACCCTATCTATTCTTTGTCTCTGCATCAGGCATTGACTGTTGGCTTCTGTCAGAGACAGGCACTGGGCTAAGTGGCATCTGACACCACCCACCACATCTGCTCTAATAAAACACACATTTAGAGGTGTGTGTTTTATTACCAGGCCTCCAGAACATGGCTGTGAATGCACCATGCCAGGGTAGTACAACGGTGGCATTACTAGTGACAAAAATTATATTTTGTAGAAAAGAGGGTCTGTTTAGAAAAATTGAGGCCTCTGAGCCTAAGCCTCTAAAAGCAGGGAAAGATTTTTTGCTTTTGGATTATGCTGCTGAACTCAATACACTCTTGTATGACTGGCATGAACATTAGTATTCAATTTGCTGAAAGATAAGCTAGAAAGAAAGCAACAATCAATTTTAACAATGGAGTAACATAAATTTAGGAGCATCAGCCCCATATATGCCGATTAAACTTTTTCTGGGATGAAAACACACAGAACTCAACTCTCTGCATGTCAGTTTACGTCTTTGATCCTGTACCAATTACAATCTTCAATCTATTTCAGTATCTCACTTCCAAGAATAATAGGAGTTTTAAAACAGAACTGAGAAAGTTCCCATGGACTTCTAAAACTGTCTCCTCTGTGCCATCTCAGTTTATTTGCATGTCCAAGCTAGCATGGTTTTAAATTTTGTTCTCAAATTACAAAAGAAAAGCACAGAATATTCTAGAAGCTGTACAGTTTTTATACTGTTTTTCAGTATCAGTAATCTGAAGATCATGTCACAGTAGTTTAAATTATTCTGACCAAGCTAACTATAAATCCAGTAGTTCACAAAATAATAGCACCTGTAACTCCGTGACAGTTACAAATAAGTTATATGATGCAAGCTATAATTTTTAAACTCAAAAGAATTTGGTATATAATAAAGAATTACAAATTTCAACACTTAACAGCTCTCGCATGGCATAAGTAAAAAACAGCAGTCCACATTAAAAACAAAATGCTAAGGCATATTCCTAACTGGAAAAGGCATTGCATGGTAATAGTGTATGTCATTAGGGAGTAGGAGTTTTGACTAAAAAGAAGAAAGTACTAACTTTAGAATTCCTGGAGCCTCCACAAATATTCCTAGAAAGGTGCCTAGGCAAAACTTCTGCTTTACTTACGCTGCTGACTGTTCATGAAGACAACTGAAGAACAGGCATACTGTAATAGTCTAAAGTGCCCAATTTTTATCTGGGAGATACATGCATACACATGATTCCCTTCTTCCTTGAAAAAAACTCATGTGTTCCAGTGTTCACCATTGGAAATGTGGAGCAATCAAAGTCTGTGTCTTCACTGAAATGCCTGTCAAATCTCCTAACAGTTTTCTCCTTAATTTTACATTAGCTCTCTGGTCAGAAAGAAGAGTTTTCTGGCAGTCTTACAAAGCTGATTGCAACCCACTGTTGTATTCAAGGATTATGTGTGTATACATTCTTAAGCACTCTCTTTGGCCTGGAAACACTGACCGTGTCCCCTTCTACAGAACTGTAGACATCAACAAATAAGGCCATGGAAGTGCTCATTTCATGTGCTTTCCTAGCTTGCAGAGTCCCACACAGCCCTGGGGTACTCCCCACCCTGTTTGTATTTTCAATGGTTTATACCTTGAAGAATTCACTGTCTTGATGTTAAATTATGGTACACAAAATTAGATGACTGACTCACATTACTCTTGTGGGATTAGTGCCCCATCTTCACAGAAATTTATGGTTTACTGATAAAGCAAGATCGATTGTCAGATAACAATAGGAAGAAAGTGGTTATTTCACTCCTGGTAGCATTTTAGTTTACAGAACATGTGAACATCACCTGCAACTAGACTAGCAATAAACTGACCTTGTAGAGATGAAACTAAAGGATTAAATGCAAGACAACAGTAATGAAGATACAAAGTGATAACACAGCAATATCGAGAAGGAAAACAGTGGTGTTCCAGTGGGGCCTCTGTATCCCACCAAGGACATCCAGGACCATTCTACACAGAAGGCCTGGCACTGTGGGCAGTCTGACAAACAACTGAAAGGAAAATGAAGTTCTGACAAAAAAAATTTGTTTTTTGTTCCTCTGTTTGCCATCACAGAACTACAGCAACTCACAAGTTTCAACTACAACTGACTTTTTTTTTTGTGTTCCCCACTACACTGTCTCCAGAGCAGCTGACCTGCTGGTCTGAATACCAGAGAAGACAATATGGGGAAGTTTGTTGTAGACAAACTTCACAATCAATATCAATATCTTGCCTTCCTTTGGTGGGAATGTGCAGACCTCAAGGACATGCTTCAAAGGCTCAGATGTTGTCTAAAATAATCTATATCTAATGAGTTTATAAATTAGTAAATCTAGAAGCTAGGGAAGAGGCAACGGCATCCTTAAAGCACAATGTAAGGACAAACTAACATGAAATACCACCTCTGAAAAATCATCGCTTAAAACTTTGGATGTAAACTGTTTATCTGACTTTAATACAGGTCTTAGATCCTAGCATTGCCAGAAAAGTAATAGCTCTATAACACAAGCTGCACATTGTGGAATTGCAATATTTTAAAGTTAATAGAATTAATCTTTTACAAAACGACATCTGTGTTTACAACTCATTTTAGAAAGCTAATAATACTTTCTGAAATTGTCAGCCTGAGTCATTGGAGATTTTTTAAATTAGAAAAATGGTAGAGTTGATCTGAGTAAACAGAACTATTTAGCCAGTCCAACCCAAATGACATTTTCTCAGCCAACTCTGTCATGACCCAAACTAATTAAAAATCATAACCAAAATAAAATTAGAAGGGACTTCATTTAATCCAGTCCCCCAAACAGCATACCTCTAACTTTCCTGAGAAATATTTCATCTATTACAGGCATCCAGTGATGCCTTTACATTGTGCCCCAGGCAATCTTACTTAAATGCTACATTATCATCTGCACTGGAAAATTTGCCTAACATCTACCCTGAATTATTTTCTTGCTGCAATTTAAGGTATTCTATGTCTGTAATGGACAAGAAAACTGTGTTATTTCCTCAGGCAACAAAGAGAAATAATTTATGTCTATGCCAAACTGTCTCAAGTTCAGTGTGTTGCAGGGCTGCCATTTTACTGGTGACATCCCATGGCAGTGACACAGACTTCATCAATACTTAGAACAACGTCTTTTTCAGGGAAGGTTTGCTTAGGTTATCAAATTTTAACTTCTTTCCCATCAAAACCAGCACAAAGCCTGGGAAGTCAAGCCATGTTAAACTGCACACAAAAACTACAACTGCCACTCTTTGATAAAGACCTCACTCAGCATCTAACAAAACACTAGCTCAAACAAAACATGTGGGTCCATGGAGTGTAAGAAGTTTGGGAAGAATTTTACAGAAGCAGGCTATGGGGAAATCAAGAGCAGAGGAAGAGGGTTTCTGTTTAGAAAGATGAATTTTTTGCAGTTGGTAGAGATTCACATTTAACAAGCACTTCCTTAGCAATGCTTCAAAAGCAATTACTTTTACACTCTACTTCTGAATTGTTATTAGGAAATATTTCTAATGAACAGCTGCTTTAGGAAATTGCTGCTGTTCACTTGCCTCTTCTCTTCAAGGCTTTCAAAACAGGAAACTGCTTCCCAACCTTTGGTTACCTAACTGTTCAGAAACTTCTGTTACATAGACAGGTTCGGGTTGGAAGGGGTATTTTTGATCATTTAGTTCCAACCCTTGTGCCACGGGCAGAGACACCTTTCAATAGGCCAGGTTGCTCTGGGCCCATCTAGCCTGGCCTTAGTATTTCCAACTGCGGCATTTTTATTAAAAATTCTATTTGTACTTTCAAAGAAGAGCCAAGTGTTTTCTCAGAGAACACAGAAACACTTTCGAGGTCTCGAGTATCTTCTAAGTATTAGCTATAATGCTCTTACAAAAAAAGAACAAAACCCCCAAAAAACACAAGGAATCAAATAAAAAGAAGCATGTTTCATCAATGGCAACTCCTGGTCAAGATCTTGTCTGCAGCTTTCTATACAGAGAAAACAAACAAAAAATTTTCAAGATCAGTGCAAACCAGTCTACAGAATTCTCAACTAGAGTATGAAACAGCAAGTTGTCCTGCAAATGTTAATTCAGCAGAACATCCGAGCATATGCAGAGACTTCAAGTCTAAAACATCACTTCAACAGACCAGAGCAGAAGAGTACAGCAGCAGTGGCCTGCCTGCCTCTCTCCCAAAAGCAGTACAAAGATCACTTGAAGCTTTGTGCACTATAACCCGATAATAGTAGGTGCTTCCTGCCTCTTAGCTGCTGCTCTGATCTGCCAGCTCAGAGGTTATAATCGCTCTGGGAGGCTCTGCTTCACATGTGCCAATCAGTTGCTATGCAGCGAGCCAGGAACAATCCAGAGCCCAGCCTTTACCAGTAAGAATGGTTCTAAGAATCCATCACAGGCTCCACCTCACCACCACAAAAACACAAATGCTTTAAGCACATACTACGGCTGACTGCTTTGTATGGTGATGTTAGAGACAAAATTATTAAAATTCACTGACTTCTCCGTCAGATAATCCAACAGTGTCTGTATGTTTGGCAAACTGCCCAACTATGCACGTAAGGATTCATTAAGGTTTTCTTCCAGCACTGCAGATACAGGTTTGTTTGCATCGCTTATTCCCCTTTGCTTAAGGAAGCATTTCTTAAACTGCAGGGCTGTTATCTTTGAAGGGATGACCAGAATACACTGCTGCAACAAACCATGTCACGTCCAATATTATTCAGCTTCCATGGCAATGGCATTTAAGCATCCCTCTTCTTTCCTGGTCCTGCAGCACTTTGCGTTCTTACAATTGTTTAGACAAATGTTTGCAGGCACAAGTTGCAAACATGGAAAAGAAAAGCTGCTGACTATATATTTTTTAAAATGAGAAATTTGAATTGGATCATTTAAAATGGATCTAAAATCCAGTTCTAGAATGGTTGTATAAACAGTTTTTCTGGCACAGAGGAAAGAGGGACAGAAAGGACAGCTGGAAATTCCAAAAGTCAATGCTGCTGCTGAAGCTCCTTGCTACACTCCTATGACTCAGGCCAACAGCAGGGGTGCAGCATATGACAAGTAAATTAGAACCTACCTAGGCAAGCTGACTTGGGGGTTCACAGCACACAGTGAATCAGGACAAGATGTGTCGAGCACTGGCTTTTTAAGGCACTTAGATACAGTGATTTAAAAAAAACGAAAATAGGATGTAATAAAAAGCAGCACCATCAGCTTTAGCAAAAGCCCTGACTTGCCAAAAGCAGCTGCTTTTTACTTCCCTTCTCAATGTCTCTGCTTTCTTTCTCCTGGCATTTCCCTCATGCTAGCCCTGCATTAGCTCAAGTTTTGGGTAACAAGCTAGGAGCCCCAGAACCACAGGGTAAGTGGATGGACACAACACAAAGGTGGCAGTAGGACCAGATCTGGCTTCCTCAACAAGAATCACTGTCAGCATGAGTTTGGGTGATGAGCAAACTGCATCCTTACTCAAGACCATGACTTTACCACTGTAAAATGCTCTCAGTAGAAAGGAGAATTTCTACACAGCACAATTTGAATGCATATAAAGATTTCACCTGGTTTTTAAATATTATGCAAGGCTTACCACAAATTTCACCCCATTGTCTATGGAACCAACTAATTCTAAGTATGTGGCTTATTAAAACTGCCACATGGAACATATAGCCCTCAATACCCTAGTTTACAAGAAAATCTCTCTAAAACAGCCAACAAAAAAACAAGTTCTACTCATTCTGGGCTTGGTTATGCCTTTAAGAGTAACATGGATTAAATTAATTTGAAGTTGTATAACCAATTAAACATCAGGTTAATCCAAACACCAAAGCTATGCGTCAAACTCCTCCCCTTGCCCGAAGGCAGCCTCCTTTACCTCAGGAGATCTTTCTTTAACCCTGATGATCTTCATTCCTATTTACAAGCTGCAGCTCCTTAATGCAGGCAAACTATTCACCATCTCTTACAATGTACAACAATCTATCTGTCCCTCTCCACTGAACTCAGCAGATGCCATTTCTATTTCTCCATATTCTGAGGAACCATGACAACCTTGTAAATTAGGGTCTGAACACAGCAACTATTCCTTCACTCCTTCCAGGGAACAGTACATGGCAAGAAGTAGCATTCCATGGGCATCAGATAATGCCACTGTGTTTAATTTTATGGGGACAAAGCACATTTTTTCAACTAAACTATGCCCATACACAGAATTCACCCAGGGACACACTGCAGGCAAATACATTTGAGTCAAACAGAATTGCCTGAGCTTGTACGTGCCAGAATTGATCTTTGTAGCCATCTGAGACAAACAACAAAAAAAAAAGATTAGGACTCCTAAGCTCTGTTCATAGCACAGGTCCCAAACAATATAGGTAGCTTTTTCAAGTTCTAATTTCAAGAGAAGTTTTACAAGCACAGTTTCAATTCTAACTTCACCATGAGAATCACACTCTTTGTATGTGAACTTGTTATCATGAAAAGCATAGAAAAAGCAATAAAACTGGGGGGGGGAAATAAGAACTTAGGTTTTTCTTACAGTTGTTTTAGAGTATGTCCAATCTCATAAATAATTGTTTTCAACAAATGACTTGTTGGCTGCCCTAATTCTTCAGGTCTAATATGCAAGCAGATTATTGGCTGCTCCCCTCTTCCCAACACAGATCAATGGCTGTATCATATACTAGGAAACTCCTAAGTGGTAAAAATACATACACCAAAGGTGAATTTAGTTTTGAACATGTTATAAATATTTTTGCCTGCTACCATTATTTTCTTTTCTCTGGAAACTAAATACTGATATTTATACATATAAATCCTGATATATCCTGCATATGAAATTAGTTCTATTATCACAGTTCCACATTACAAAAGCAAATTGTTTACTGAATTACTTGTTTATCATTATACCAAGTAAGTTTTCTGCAGCAAATCATTTTCATGTATGTTTTAAACTTGCTTTATGCAAATTAAAATCTTACCTTTATTAGAAGAACTGCCACAACGTATTCCACTTATGCTTTGGACAAAAATATGTTGCAATGCACTATATATGCAAATAAGCTTTGTTCTGTCATGCAGCATCCGGCATTTTGATATACAGTCAATTGCAGCAGCGCCCAGTCTTTTTAGGGCCCATTTTCTTTGCATAGCAGATGTAAATAGCTCATTTTCCAATAAATACATGTTTATATGGGCTGATTGTAAGTAAACAAAGCCAAACATCTGTTTAGTTATTAGCTTTGGTATCCATTTCTCTAACTTGCATTATCTCACTTAATTATCAACACCAAAGAAAGCCAGTAGAAGTCAGACATTTCAAGTTGATGCGGTTAGTACATAAAAGGAAAATAAAAGGAAACACTCAAAAGCACTCTTCAAAGACCATCATGCAAGTGTTGCAGAAAGTTAAGCCCATCACCCATTTTCTGTTCACCCTTGCAAGGACTTAATTACACGTGCAGCACTCTTTGCATAGCACCCATTTAATCCATGCCACCAAAATGGTAAACTTGGTAGTTACCAATCATTTAGATGGGGTCAAAAGGGCTAATGCCTTAGACTGCTCTTAATCATAAGATATCCTCAGACAAACCTCCCCAGTCTTCATTCTGGCTCTACAAACAAAATCAAGCAGCAGTGAAAATGTAGTATCAACTACTAAATTTAAAAAAAAACGCAAATAAAAGCCCAACATCCACCCAATTATGTACAGATTATTTACATTTAAAATAAGACTTAAAAATATTCTAAACAATATACAAAAGTAAATTCAGTTATTTCACTTAAATTTTTTTCAGCTATTGTTCTTGTTTAGGTTAATACAATTTTAATATGTTTTCCTGAAAGTCCACTCTTAAGAAAGCAAATAGAAATGCATCAGAAGAAAACATCTGTTCAAAGACTTCAAGTAGATGCCCTAAAAAAACCTCTAAAGTTTATTTTTCATTTCTTAAGCAGGTAAAGGATACTGGTACCTTAAAAGAGGTTGTACAGAGTTCTTTAGAAAGCTTCAGTTGTACATAAAGGAATATTAATTCAAAATTTTTACTTTTTTAAAGAGACTTAAAAGCAGTTCATTATTGGAACAGATTCAGAGCGTAATAGGATAGGATGATACCAAATTTACATATATTTCATTCAGTAATTAACTGCCACCCAGTATTATTATTAACATTAATATTAAAATAAGACTTGTTTCATGAAGAAAAGTTTTATTCAACCTATCATTCTTGAAGTAATTTAAACAATTTAATTCAAAATTCATATTTATTAAGTCACCATTGTTACTTGCTGAGTAGTCACTCATGTCGTGCAAAAAGTTCAACATTTTCACTTTAATCAATTCATCTATTAATCAAACATACTTAGAATTCTCAAAGAGTTGTGAACAACAGGTCTTCTCAGACTTTTTTTTTTGCCTTTTAATATCAAATTATTAGCCTAAAATTTAATATACACATTTTTATTGTATCTTGATATCCATCATCAGAACTACTACTGTTGCTAGACAGCACGGCAAAAAAAAATACAGCTTTTCCCTTAAAAATAAAACACATACCAGCAATGTGCCCCAACATCTGTACAACACACAGAAAAGACCACAAGGAAATGAGAATCTAAAGCTAAACACAACAGGATGCCTCCTGGGGACATTCGAATCCTTTTCACCTAATATTCTCTGGCACTCTTAAGACCATCTCGCAGGAAGTGAAAATTCTAGGAAAGGGTAGTAGCACTGCAACATGACATATCATCTCAGACAACAGAGTAAAAATGGAATTTTCTCCTCACAGTCTCAAGATCCAAACATTAACACTGCTCTTTTCAATATTCTGCCACATTCAATGAACTTGTTCTATTAAAAGGTAGATTAATATGAGTGCTCAGAAAGAGCACCTGATTTTGAAAATAAGATACTCCTTACTCTCAAGCAGACTTCCCCAACTGTTCATTTAGTATGTTAATTGACCAGCAGCACATGACTGAACTCCTGGAAACAGCTCTGGTACAAGCAGCAGTGCTAAAATTTTCATTGCACCACCCTGACACATTGCTTCTATTGCTGAGGACAGGAGAGTGTCTCTGGAAAAGACTCTATCAGTTCAATGCCCAGAATAAATACACCTGTATTAAAATTATAATCTACAAAGAGTTCAGTGTACTGTTAGTATACCCTCAACAGTATTATATCAATAAATGATCAATAAAAGGCTTATATCAATAAATGATCAAGTTCACAGTTTGCAAACTGATCAGTACTGGAATTCACATCAGAGAGGGTACTGAATAGTTACAAGACAGCAAGGACTGGTAATGCTAATTTATCTTATTTTTAATTGAAACTTTCTGATGTTTCAATTTGCAAAGCTTAATGAATGTATATTTAAAACTTTTATGAAAGACCCCTTCCTCAACTTGTTGAGTCTTAAGATCTTCTAATTTTGATTTCTTTGATGCAATAGAATTAGTCACATCTTAGATGCATACACACTTAAACAACAACCAAAAATACCCCCAACTGAGCATGGGAAGAGGTTGAAGCATGATATACTAACTTCTTGGATAGTCAATGCCACTTTTTCAAGAAGATACTTAAATCTGGAAGTATTAACCTCCTCTTCCCCCATTACTACTTGGGAAAAAGTAATGCAGGTTCTACTATTCATTTTCTGGAATACTTCCTATTGCTTTAAACATGAGAGTATGATTTTCTAAGTATTTACAGGAAAGCCTAGTCCACAGTGCAAGAAGGACAGTTTAAAAGTACCTATTAAAAATACAGAAATATCAAGGTTTACAGAGCTGTCTGCTGCAATTAAATTCACAGTATTTAGAGATTTGTTCCTAAGAGCTGCATGCAGCACCCCAGGTGGGGTCTCACCAGAGCAGGGTAGAAGGGCAGAATCCCCTCCCTTGACCTGCTGGGAACTTACAGATGCAGCCCTGGGTAGAACTGGCTTTCTGGGCTGCAAACACACATTGCCAGGTCATGTCCAGCCTCTCATCCACCAGCACCCCCTCTCAGCTGCTCTTGACCTGTTCACCCTCCAGCCTATACAGATACCAGGGATTGCCTTGACCCAGGTGCAGCATCTTGTACTTGATCTTGTGGAACTTTGCGACATTCCTACGGGCCCATTTCTCCAGGTTTGTCCAGGTACCTCTGGATGGTATCCCATCCTTCATGTGTGCCAAATGCACCATTCAGCTTGGTGTCTCCTGCAAATTTATTGAGGGTACACTCAATTCCTCTATGTCATTAGCCAAGACATTAAACAGCACTGGTCCCATTACAGACCCCTAAGGAACACCACTGAAATTCATCAGGACACCAAGCCATTGATCACTATATTTTGGCTATAACTGTGCACCCATCAAATCCACCCCTCTTGAATTTAAAGAGAACAATGTTATGGGGAACTGTGCCCAGATAAACAACATCTGTAGCCCTCCCCTGGCCAACTGATGAAGCTGCTCCATTACAGAAGGCCAACCAATAGAAGGGGTGCACCACATGCCCTAGCATAGCTCCTAGGAGGATCTGTTCCATGATCTTTCCAGGTATAGACAGCAGTCAGGATGACAGGTTGGTGGTTTCCAGAGTCCTCCTTTCTACCCTTTTTAAAAATGGGTACAAAGCTTCCCTCTCTTCCAGTCACCTGGGACTGCATTTGTTGTGACTTTTTGAGTATCAGAGAGAGTGGCAAACACTCTAATAGCACTAGAAGCCCTTTCTTCTATAAATACATCTCCAGAGACTGACTTCTGAAACAGATTTTACAAAAGCATCAGCTACCAAAACACTACTGCTTGTTCTTCTGTGAGTTGAGAGGGATTCCAAATCCATAAAAAACATAGCTATTTCCTAATCCCTAGATAATGAACTAACAATCTATCATTTCTCATGCACAGTAACTCTCATAGGTCCCCATACATATATCTTCTAAAATGTAATAGATCATTATCTGTGCCTGAAATCGAGCAGATACATCTCTTAGAATTGCAGTGACCAACTGACCAACAAAGCTGACCACCTGAAACTGAAATGGAAGTTATATGTGAAGAGCAGATGGCATTCAAGGCAGTTGGATCTCCGTAATAAAGATTCCATTATTCATTCTTTTTTCACATTCAGGGGACCACAAGTACAGCCAAGGCAAATAATGCCACTGCCAGCTTAGGAAGGCAGTCTATTTCGACAGTACATATTTAAGAAAGAACATTAAGTGAAGACTGAATTAATTGCATTCGTTGTGGTAAGTTTCTCAGGCAAATGGTAATAAAGAGCTGCTTACAAAGGCTGTTTCCTAAACCAGACAAAATTCCTTATACTCCTGCCCACTTGAGGCTTAAAAAGAAGAATTTTCTTTTGCCAGTGCTAATGACAAAATGAAGGAGTTTTGGCCTATCTCAAGAACAACCCCAATACCTATTATTATGCATACCTTCAAACCTATGGTTTCCAATAAGCACATTTCATCTTCAGTAAGAAAATTCTCATGGCATATAGAGGAAATTCACCAGAGTTTAATTTCCAAAGATGCTCATTCTAAAGCCAAAAGCTTAAATCTGTGCAGCAGCCCTTAGCATCTAAGGCAAATCAGCCAACATGAACACTGTCGGCACCCCTCTGGATATAGGATGAGGCAAGGGTTTGAAATAGGGTAGAAAAGAAGGTTAATTGATAGCTTATCTCTTTTTCTTCATGTGGAAGGACTAGTAAATACTGCCTGAGGCCAAACTGCAAGAACCTAAGAAAAAAAAAGGTTCACATAGTTTTTAGGTTTTTGATCATTACTTAAGTAGTGACCCAAACAAGCAAGTGTGATTTGTAGAAAGACTCACTTTTTATCTAGATACCTCTAAAAAATAAATGTATTTTTAAGTATTTAGATGTTCTGCAATCAAATACTAAAAAAATCCACAAAAACCCTACAAAAGAATAGTGGTGGACAAAATGAGGCTAATTTCCAAAATACTTTTCTAAAATTCACATAGGATAATCAACAAAAAACATTTTTACTCATAGCCAATGTTTAGGAAATTTTTCCTACTTCAAAAAAAGATCAGCAAGTCTGTACAGATTTGCTTTAAAATATATATGTGACTGCTCAGTTTAAGTATTATTAACTCCTTGATTTTAGCATTTAGAACAGTAAATGACCACAAACTCCCAAGCACCATACTGAATTACTCAAGCCATAAAAAAAACCCAGGGCAATTAGACTTTTGAAAGAAATAAATCAAATCCTCTCTTTTGTATAGAACATCTATCATTGGTAGCTCCATGCCTTAAAAAATTCAAGCGTCACAAAATGATGCACAAGCTTATCTTTTAGCTGTTCCACACATCATATGTATATATTTAATTCATGCAACACATGGTATCTACCAATTTCTTTCAGTGTAATGGAGTTGTTCTTGCTTAGAACCTCCTTTTCAGCAGTGCATGCCTTTGTAATCACTAGTTCAGTATTAAAATCTCTCTAGCAAACAAGATATAAAATGATCAGCGACATGTAACAGCATTCTTTTGAACAGAAGAATTTCTACAATAGAGTGACAAGGAAGAATGGAAGCACTGGAGTTAATTACCTTTTACTACCTCTCATGTGGGTACCACTGCCAGCATTGCTGACTGACTGTTGATAAGCTATCAGGTGGTAATAAATATGGGGGAGGGGATAGGGAATGAATACTTGAACTAAGTACATTCCTGAAGAAATAACAGGAACGTGTAAGTGGGAGGGGTTAACAAGTTAGTGTGTTTCAATCCCACAAACTAGCAGTTAGTAAAGGCATCTCATAGCAGCAAGAGTTTTATGACAAACTGAAGTAGGTGCTCAGACACAGAAGTACATCCTGGAAAACTTCCACAGAAAATACAAGTATGCAAGGCTATTAAGAACTAATTCACTACTCAGAAATTTGTGCCTTAGAGTATTTCCTGTTAACATTACACAAACAGTCAATGTATCTGTTATGATTTTCTTTTGTATAAGTGTTCTGTACAGCTCTTCATCTTTAAGGTACTTCATACAGCAACGCATGTAGCATTATTAATTAATAATGTTGTATAACGTTGTATTCCATTAATAATATTGTGTATTCAGCTACGTATATATGTGTGTGTATATATGTACATATATACAAGTTTGGCAGTTTGAGTATTCAGGGCCAAATAAAAACAATCACTTTGTTGCCCATAATTAAAATCTGACATGGTCAAAAACAAACACATGACAACCCTGATAGAAATATGTTTTGCATTTGGAATCACACTACGTTTCTGTCTGGTAGTTTTGAAGTATTCTGGGAAGCAGATATTAACTCTAAGTACCAAAAATTATCCATATGTCAGAAACTTATTTTAACAACTCTCTTCCTCAAACCCAGCATTTACATAGTAAAAGTTGATACAAAACCCAACTTCCAAAGAAAAAAGTCCAAATTTATTAGAAGCTAAATTTAAATATGAACCCAGACTTTTCCAGGGTTTATAAACTAAAATGCTTATTTAGGGAGTACTTTTATACCTAACCAACACTCAAGTCAATATAACTAAGAATGAAAAACATAAAAGCCCACCATAGGACTCCAGTGGTGCAGTGATAAACTGCTACATTTCAAGTTAATCACAATTATTTAATAAACACTGACAACTGAAAATTTCCTAAAGATGGGGAAAGAATAATCAGAGTAAAGCTATCAGGGTTAGGGAAAAGTCTCACATTGAAAAAGTGGTATTTCCCTTTCTGTAAGATTTTTAACTTGAAGTTATATTAATGTGAAATTATATTCTCTGTAAAAAGAGAATGTTCGTAGCTTAGAAAGAAAAACAGTAATCAATTCCTAGTAATAAAACACATTATTTCTTTAGAACAGCCCTATAAAATAGTAAAAATAAAGTTCAAAAACAGTAACAATAAGAATACAGTTATTCTGCTTTATGCACAATTAACTATATTTGCAGGAGACAAACTGGAACATATAACTAATCTGTTATATCTGTTTTCATATAAAGAGCAAAAGATTTTAAGAGAATAAACATTATTTTTCTCCCGTCTTTGTAAACTGCAACAGGACTTTGGTTAAGGTAATTTCTACAAAGAGTAAAGGACGACTTAAATTGAACCAGAACACAAGAAGTAAATAAGTGTATGTATTTCCTTTCTAGAAAAATAGGGTAGCAAATCTGTGTGTAATGGCTGACCTTATTCATGATAAGAACTTTAATGTGCAGTGGATCTGCCTGTACTCTGAAAGGATTACAAAAACAGCTACCAGGGTAAAGAACACCACGTGTTTCCCCATCCTACTAATATTATATCCAACAAAAGACTACCAAGTGGAGCACAGAAGGCTTGTAAGAGAATTTAAAAATTAATTCATAGGAGAAAATAACAAATTGATGGTTCACACAGGGGGGAATATAGAGCAACTTGCATCTGTATAAAATCTGGGCAGTAAACATCAGTACACTTAAAAAAAAAAAAAAGGGTGAACCATCCATGTTAAACCATATGTTCCACTGACTTACACACAGGACTGATGATTCCCCCAGTACACCAGAATTTTTTATTCCCATTTAGATATTCAAGGACCTTAACAGTGTACATTTCAATAAGAAGAAAAACCAAACAAAATAAAATAACCCAAAATAACCAGCATAGGATGGAGAAATATGGAGAAATGACATTAAGTTTTTCTATACCATTGAACCCCTTCACATCAAATGTTTTTTAAAAAAATGGTAGACATGCAATCTGCCATTCTTCAACAATAATAGCAAATTAACAAAAGCATTCAAAGTAAAAAAACAATGTTCTTACACTTTATTCTCTATGTTTCTATGGCACTACTATTACTGCTTTGTCAGCTTGGAAATGTTCCACAGTAAGCAGCCTACAGCAGAAAAGCAAGTCTAAGAACTAATTAGAACTATACCTGAACGAGTCTCAAAGAAGAGAGTCTAGCTTCTGGATTTCAGCAATGAAACAGTAAAGAAGTGAACATGCATCAGGTATGACAAAAAAACTAATGGTTAATAAATAAAAAGAAGGAATGAAAGACATGAACAACACTAAGTTAAATTAGCTTGACCTACAATTACCTAAGTATAAACACAAAACAGCCACTTGCATTTACTAGCAGAACACAAAGTCACAGTAGAGTACAACATATCATAACATGCCAAACCAAACAAAAACAGCAGCTAACACCATCCTATTGCACACTTAGGATGACTAGCTAAAACTACATACTAAGCATGCTAAAAAATACCTCCTAGAAGCTTAGAGGAACAGGAGGTTTTTGAGTCACAGTCTACCATGCTGACACTTTGGCCAGAGAAGCTGGATTTGCTTACCTCCTGCAAAAGATCTGCTTGTTCGATGGCTTTAAGAACATTTTTCTTGGAAGTCTCCTGAACTTCCCCTCCTAAAAGGAACTCATCCAGAATGAAGTAGGCTTTTTCAAAATTGAAGATGATATCAAGTTCACATACCTAAAAAGAACATCAAGCATTATTGCAAAGTGGGAGGATACTCTCACTTGATGTATATCTTCTCACAAAATTTCACTTGCTCACAGCTTAACCAAACTTTACCAAATCAAGCCTAAGGCTTGTAAGGACTGGGACAACAATAAAATCACACCTTGGAAAAAAAAAAAAATTATATTTTTTTGCTTGAGTTAAAAACAGCTACAGCAACCTCTGAAAAGCTTTCACTGTTAAAAAGGCTTCAATTCACAGCAGTCTGTAAGACAGCTCTTCAAGATCAAGAGAATATTCCCTATAAAAGTTATCTTGTTGCCTGCAGTATGCAATCTTACAGAAAGATATGAAAACAAATAATCTCAAATTTCTCGTTCAGTCTGTGTATTTCATAGTCAGAAAAACTACAAAGAAAGGCAGAACGAGAACCAGTTTTTCTAGGAGAGCTCATGTACATTACTACAGATGTTTGTGTTTGCTGTAAGCAGATGTCTCTTTCTTTCCTTACCATTCCTGCCACTTCACAACCAACTGCCTCCTCTGGAAGCAAGATGTAAGAAGTGCTCACACTAGAGCAGTGCCAGGGAGAAGAAAAGCTTCTTGCTAAGAGTAAGGTTTTATGTGACCCCAAGTAAGAGTACTATGAAATGAAACAAATAGGGGTAATTAATACCAGATGGATAACAGTTCTTCTCCAAATCAAGAATTAAATATTGTATTTTAATAGAGGCAACCATCAGTTTAGTTTGGCCAAGCAAGCCACGCAAAATATATTAAATGCACCTTTTCAATTACTAGTTGGTTATGTTCCTGTAAAAGTGCTGTGGGCATAAAACAAAATTACAAAGTACAGAGAAACTAACTCACACTGCCAAAATACTTGTCAAGAAGTTCTACATAGCGATGAATTATTTCCAGAGTTATTAATTCATTGTCCTGATCTTCAATAGCACAGCAGAAATAGAGGCTTGCATATCTGTAATAACAACATAATCCTGATGTTAGCATACAAGCATAAGCAAAATGAATGCACCTGAGCAGTAGCATGTTCTCAGCAGTCATTTATACTCAAGTTCAGCATATTGGTAATCCAAATCACAACCAAGTCATACCAAAGAATGGCTGAAAGACCAGAAGACACACATATGTACAAGCTGACAGAACTGAAACAGCCAAAGTGGCAGTTGGAAAACTAAATATATTTTATTTTGTGGCGTAATGGGAGAGTTCTGAGGTGAGATACTTTCTTTTCTGCCTGTAACATCCATACACCAGTATATTAATCAACTGATCCAATGTTAAACTTTCATCATGTAAGCTATAAATAGATATTAATAACCACAGAAAATGCCTCAAGAAAGATAAACTGAATTAGGAATTCAAGTTTAGTCTTTATAGAGAATTACAAAAATTCAAAAAACTCCAACACAAATATCATCCACCCCAATTACCACTAAGTCAACAACTCAATCCCTACTAACTGTCCTGGCATCAGACTGATGAGAGGCTATCAAACAGTTGGTTTCTAGCAATCCACTTCCATCTTGGAAGACAGGAAAGTTGTCACTTCAGATATGATCAAGTTCCACTTTAACAAAGACCATCCAATTCTACTGTGCTCTATCATACATTTGTTCAAGTCATGTTTAAAGAGAGCTGATCAAAAAAATAAAAACAAAGCAGGAATGAAAGCTGAAAACCTCATTTAGTCTTTTCAAACATGTCAAAACCATATGCCTTTCAGTCTCACATGGCACAAACCAGATTTCAAGTACCACCTGTTGTAACTGCTAATTTACTTGAACCAAAACCAGCTTTTGTTTGCCTCTTTAGAGGAGACAACTGGCCACATTAAGCACTCCTGAGTAGCCAGCCCTACTGAAAAAGAAGTCATTCAGATGTGAATGCCTAAGGTACATAGTTGTTTCCCATAGACAGAAATCCATGAATCTTTTAAACATTACACAGATTATATCAGCTGGGACTTGTCAGACTTTTTGGCTAGAAGTTCTGAAAAATCCTTGCTGTATTTTCAGCTATGTTGAGATTTGCCTCCTAGACACCTATCCAGTACCATTTATGATCTAAAAAAGTCCCCCCTTCTCCCACTCTACTCCAAATCAAATTGCTACTGCTTCAAGATGAAAGATTAATCGGAATAGCTTTTATACAAAAATCTTTAAACTACTCTAAAATATTGCTGCCTATCCTACCACAAAACATGACGGCAGAAGAGAGGAAGGCACATCTACTGAAGGACACCTTCATTTCCTCTCATCTATTCACCATAGGGATTCATCAGCTCATCAGAAGTCCTATCTGAGCACAGTTCTTTTGATTTTACATTGCTCTGTTTATGCCTCACTAATTTTTCAAGGACATTTACAGTCTTTGTAGTAGCTTGCAATATTGAATCAGTATTAGGAACCTAAACTATTTTTACAAATATTGGAAAGAAATATTATAAAGAAAAAAACGTGCTTTCAAACCTTCTGAGGAATTTCTAAGTCAAGCTCCACACTATCATATTTCATTGTAGCAAAAAAGAGCATTGACACATTATTTGACATTTACACTAATCACCAGCACTCAGGCCAAATCCATCTAAACAAAGCCTTACTGTTTCCTTACAATGCTTAAACACAAGTTGAACCATGTACCAGCAGACCTTATCAAATCAAATTTGACTCAAATTTTACCCACATGGGACAGTCCCTCTCTGCTCCCCTAGTACTTAAGAGTCTCTCTTGATGCACAAACTATTTTATGGCAAAGGAAGGGGGGACAGGAAAGAGGGAGACCAATATAAAATACTGAGAAAATGGTCTACTCTCAGTGCCCTCATTTAAAAGATAACATAACATACTTTCAAAAGATCATATTTGGCAGCTAGTGAGCAGACTGCACATTCAAGCTCTGCCAACTGCAGTTCTAGAGAAATAAGACCAAGAAACAAAAACTACTCAGTGGTACCAAACAGAGGCCTGGGTATCTATTATTATATGCAGAGAATATTTGGGTATTTATTTTTTAAGTAGCAACCATGACTAATGGATCACTACTCAACAAAAGAAAACAAATGAAGATTTAATAAGCCTGAATGGCAAATGGCAGAAGGGTATAAACAAGTCATACCAAAGGGCATAAGCATACTACAAAGAATGTTTCAGATCCAAATTCTCAAAGGCGTTATTTTAATTTTTTTTCCCCCTGAAGGAAGGGCTTCAGAAAATAAGTGTTCACTTATAATCCACAACTGGAAGTTTTGCCAAGTGTAGAAGTTTACATGAACAGTATCCACACAAAGACAAGTAGATTACTCGGGCTCAAAAAGATTTCTGCTCTGCAGAAACAGCTTCTTCCTAATGAGCCTGACAGAAACCTTTCATATGCACCCACTGTAAAGGCAAACCCTGATAGAAAAGCACATACCCAAAAGTAAATAAAGTGCAGTCTGTAAGAAACATTCTGCCTTTTTTATTCCTGTTGCTGTCAGGATATTTTTTATCTCACTAAGTATTATTAAAATAATCTTCAGACTCAACTCAACTGCTTACCCTCATTTACAAAAATATTTTATAATAAATATCCTCCAGTTATCAGAAAGGGGACCAAAACCAGAGAGACCAAAAACTGTTTGCACAAAACCACCTGAAAATGTATTACAGGATTAAAGAACAAAAAGGTAACACAGCGGGTATAAATACTTATGCAAATTCCTGCCTACAGACAGATGGCCTCTGGATTTTTTTTTTGATAGGAAACAAATCCATGCATCTTCTTCTCAAGAGCTGCAGTAACTCAGCAGTGGGAAGGCTCAAAACAGGAAGGCAATGTTTATGTAGTTCTCTCCCAGCCAGGCTCAGTAATTCTGCTGAGAGATCAGGTCACTGTGGGCAGAGCACAACTTGCAAATCCTACCAGTTCAGTGGTGCTCTCCTAGATGAGAGAACACGTGCTTGAAGTCATCCCTGGAAGTTCGTCAGCAGGTAAGCCTGCAAACAAGCCGTAAGTCTGTCAGCACCTAAGTCACTGTGCATGTAGATCCTAACTGCAGAAGTTTAAAGCTTACAAAGTTTGGTACAAACAGAACTGAACTAAATAACAACAAGGCGGCATACAAGTGCTTAATGAGCCCAAGAATCTGTCGTTTGCTGATACCTGACCCAGTGGAAATTGGAATCACCAATAAGCTGTGCCTGGCAAAAGGTTTTTTTCTTGTCCCACAACATTACACATTTCTTTAATAAATGATGAACTTCTGAGGCTCCAGGACAGAGTCTACTAAAGTGAAGCACTTTTCCAGTTTCTAATTTCAGCAAGGCTATAGCCCTCAGCAGTTTCAAAATGAACAAGAATTTGATACTGCTAATTCTCAAAGAAAAAGCTGTTGCTTCTTCATACTGAGGTCCTCCTAATGCCACACAAGCTAGAACCCTGTACAAAAATCTGATCTAATTAAAATTATCAAGCCCAAGTATCTAATTCACTGTAATCATTGTATTCAGCCAGTTTTACAAAGCTACCTAATCAACAGCAGAGTAATACTTTTTAAGAGGTACAACTGGCTGCTAAGTTACACGTAAGGAAAAAGAGGGATGATGCCAAGCTGGGCCACTGGCCACATGGCTGTACCTTCAGTTCACAATACTTTAAGAGGCACAATACCTGCACAATGGGCTCTTTCACTGCTTCTTTCAGTGCAGGGAGGGTAGAAAGTTTTAAAACTTGTTCTGTTGTAAGTCTTTAACCTCATAACCTCAGATTATGCTTATGTTGTGCAAACGCAAAAGACAACTGCCACATCAAGAGCAGCAAAAGCTATGGTAGTTTCATAATATCACATTCCAAATACAGTTCCACACTGACACATAAAAGCAAAGCCACAAATTAATTCCTTAATCAAGTAAGTAACTAACAATAAGTCCCATGAATGCAGTTAGCTAAATGCTAACAAAATAAAATCTATATAAAAAAGTTCTTCTCAAAGTTCTGATTTTGACTGCAATATACTACACAATGAAAATAACTCATATTACCAGAACATAAAATAGAGAAGTCTTCAAAGAAAAAAAAAAAATCACATCCTAAGTTCCTTCTTTAGCAAAATTATAAATTTTAACATTTAACACATTTTTTCTGCCACAGGGGGAAAGCTGCATGAACTTCCACCCTATATGCTCCAAAACCACTGTTACTTTTTAAATGACAAAATGTAAAGAGCAAGCACATAAGCTGTGTTTAAGTTTCTAATCAGCTGTCTGCAGATGACTCCTCCTCTATTTTCATAAAGTATAATTGTTGTTGGCTTCCCATATTTAATTTTTTATTTTCCCAGCAAGTCACTTCAAATCTCTATTCTTCTTGAAGTTAGAAGCTCACATCCTCTTTTTAGTTTTTCAGGCTGATAGACACCAGAAGTTTATCTTCCAAAACAGCTACAGAATACATATAAGCCAATTCATGCACCATGACAAAAGCTGGGAACCTTTCCGTCTGTGTTTTGTAGTGCTGAAAGAAAAAAAACTTCACAAGGCAATGACTGAGCCTATGTTGCAACCATTATAAATGCTGCATGTATGAAACCAGAGGGAAATAAAAGCAACATCACCTACATATAGATTAATTTTAAGATCTATTTCCTTGAAGATTCAGAAAACATCCTATAAAGATTAAATGCTACAGAGTTAAGGAGGCTAATCAAAATAGTCCAACAGTCTTAATGACTGTTAAGTATCATAAGGGAGCTAAACCTACTGTCTTGCCAACTTCTGCATTTGAGTTCATTCTGTTCCTGCAAAAAGGTATGATGAGGCCCCTGAATATACTTCTGATACTGTCAATCATTCTTTGAGCTGCAATATCTTTCATATTCATAATATTTCATATTCATAATACTGAAGTTCAATTCTCCTACATGTGAACAATAAACACAAAAACAGCAAACAGCAAAAACAAAAATCAGCACTTAAATTCCAATAATTTAAGACTCAAAATAGCAATAGGCACGTATTTTATAACTTATACTAAAAAATATTTGCACCAGCAGGTTCAGATCCTTCTCAGCAATAGATCAGACAAGAACAAATCTTAGCAGAGATCCTCTAGAGATGCTTAAGAGGAATTGGGAACACCTTTTGCAATTTCACAAGCCACAGAGTTCTTTCTGGTGTATTTCTCTTTTAGACACTAGCCTTTCAGCTACAAAAAGTCACCCTTTACAAAGAAACCATAGTAGTTTGTGCTCATCATCCTTAATTATGGTGCAATGATGGGAACAAGTCCTACAGACCTAAGAGCTATCAGTGTTACCAGATACAGACGTTTAAACTATCACCTCTAATACCTAGTCCTTCTGGTGATGCTTCAGTCAAAAAAAAGTTGAGATGTTCATTAGCTTGGTACAAGCTCATCTTTATCAGTTTCATAGGCTCTCTGTGCCAGACTGGTCTGCAGAGAGTGAAATAAGCTACTGCAGTCAGCTGTGCACACCAGCAGTCCAGCAGACAGACTGCAGTATTTAGACCATTTTTAGCCCAAGGTAGACATCTCCCAGCAAATTTCTTCATTCTCCTTGACCACAGGACCCACAACATATCAGTGAAATGCAACAGCACCACAACGTTCAGCAATTCACAATCCCACCCAAATTTCCACCAGCTCCCTTGACACAAAAGGACATGGCAAGTAGTTGTTAACAGCAACAAACAGGGAGGGAAAGCAGCTGTGTGGAATCATCCCCAGAACAGCTACTGCTGTTCAAGCCTGGGTAAGGAAGGAAACATACTGGCCTACTAATGCCTCATTTTTCTGATTTAGTGTCCCATGAATGCTCAGCTGAAAAGGCACTTGCAGGCATTAATACAGAAGGAAGCACAGCAAGTGTTTGAGCAAACTTGTCCACATACACATTCAAGGAGTTTTGTTAGGAAATCGAGAGGCAGAAGAAACTGTATATACTATCAGCACAGCCTCATGCATTGTGTCTCCTCTTTCCTCCTCATGCTGAAGAACTACATGCATTAGGCAGACCAGCAATACTCACATGCATGTCTTTACACAAAACACTGTATATATGAGAGCAGCACTTAAAACATCTAAACATATTTAATACTACCCATTTGTTATCCTGGAAAAGAGTTACAAACTCCTTATTTCTCGTCCAGTCCTTTCTGTCCTATCTACAGGGAATACAAATAATATTTACTGTGGGGCACAAACTATCTACCATCTCCATGAGAAAACAGGAATGCATCAACCTTCTCAGGTTTACAACTAACTAGGGAAGAGAGATAACTCAAAGCTTTGTAGCACCACCTTTAGCTGGAAGAGATGCAGCCTACCACATCAGGAGGAGGATTACTGTTATTTCTGGAGAAGAATTATGGTCACGCCACTACACCATGATACATTCCAAAGATCAGCACAAAGCTTAAAAATGCTTGCCAAATACTGTTAGGAAATTATTAGGAAACAACTGGAAAATGAAATTATTGTGAAGAAAATTATACATTACTTCCACTGAAAGAAAGCTGGTCATGATGTTTTCAATTATGAAAAATCCCTTTTGGTACTTACAGGAAAAAAATCAAAACCACAAAACAAACAAAAAACAACCAAACAAAAAACAACAACAACAAAAAATCACCAAATACTTCAAAAAATTACTTCCTTATTTCTTTGAGCCCTTAAGAGCAAGTTACATTTTCAGGTGATTTTTGAAGCCACTGCTTGAGGTAAATATTTATAAAATTTTTATCACTTATTAAATCTGAAATGTGTACCAATATGAAGCATGTATGTACTGTGTGAACCTAAACAGAGTACCAAGAAGCACTGCCACTCCTTATGAAAATAAGAGGAAAGCTCATTTCTTCAGTACATTTCTAAATGCATGAGTGATTTTCCACACATGAATAACTCCTGCTTGGTTATCAAATTAGATTCAAGGGAAAAGTCAGTCTTCTCTGTAACCAGCAGAGGGAAGGGAAAAAAAAAAACAACAACAAAACAAAAACAACCTTCATTATTTTCTTGCTACTTAATACACGGTTTGTAATGTATGATAATTATGAGGTCAGTGAGACAGAACCACCTTTTGTAGACAATCTTCAGGTCTCTCCATTCCAGAAAGCTGCACATTTTCGGTTTGCGGGCTAATACTGTTTGAACAAGTTCCCTTGTGATTTTCTTCTTTTCTTTGTCAGATAATGGGACATACCACTTCTGGAGTCTCAGTTTCCCCTGGCGACTAAAAAGCAACATAAACTGCATCTGTTGAATTGAAAGGAGGGGAAAGAAGAAAAGCATTAATCTCAGTCTCTGAGTTTCAAAAAGATCTCTCTCTGAGAAAAACCAAATAGGAAGCAAGACGGACATCCAAAACCTATACTACATTATGTATTTCTATAGCACTGGCAGATGTTACACAAGATTTGGAAGTAGCAATGATACAAAGGATTCTGCTGAGCAAGGTCAGTCAAGCCAAAGGCAGAAGAAAGCGCACACAAGTTTCAGAAAGCGGTGTCAGAACCATCGGCTAGCGAGCGAATATACCCCAATCTCAGACCAGCCACGTCCAGCACCAGTATGGTTTATTTGCCTTTTCTACCCAAAATGACAGAAAATCTGCACAGCAGACTCTTCCAATACACAACCTCATTTCCAATTCACCGAATTAGAGCCTTACAGGAGCAATTTGCACTTAAAATCTTTCTGAAAAGCCTCGGAATACTTTAAAAGGCATCAGACCTCCCAGCGGAGAGTCCTACGGCACAGAAAAGCCCAGTCTTTTCCCACGTTACACAAAAGGCGAGATTAAGTGCTTTCCCTGCGGTCCTATGTTCCAGGTCTCGCTTCCTCTAAAGGAGTGATGTTGCAATTATATTTTAAGAGGAACTTGCCGGGCTGTGTTTTCCAGCAGCTGTAGCATTAAATGAAATGGCTTGGGCTTTTTTCTTTTGCCTTTTCGCTCGAAGTTGTATAGGGCTGAGGAAGTTTCCCAGGCAATATGACAGACATGAAATACGATGCGAAAGCCCAGCTTGGTCCCGGGTGACAAGCGTGACCAGCGCCAGCCGCGGCGAGCGGCGGCCGCGCCCGCAGCGACNAGGGAGGGGGGCGGAGGCTGAGGGGGCGCGCGCTGGGCGGGAGTAGCTGGGCTGCCTGTGAGGGGACCCAGCCTGTGAGGGGACCCAGCCTGTGGGAGAATTGCCTTTCTGAGGGGGCCCAACCTGTGAGAGAACTGTCGTTCTGAGGGGACCCAGCCTGTGGGAGAATTGTCCTTCTGAGGGGGCCCAACCTATAAGGGAATTATCCTTCTGAGGGGATTGAGTCTGTGAAGGGATTGTCCTTCTGAAGAGACCCACCGTATGAGGGGATTGTCCCTGCAAGGGGGAGTTTTTCCCCTAAAGTCACCCTGATTACGAGCTGCAATTAGATTGGCAGGACCAGCCGCCGACGCGGACTTAGCGGTGTTGTGTTACATTAATGCTTGGTTTTAAAATTATCATTCATGTGCATCTACAGAGACTGCGTGCTGAAACAGATCGGATTGGGGGTTTGGTTGGTTGGCTGGTTTTGGTTTTGTTGTGGATTGGTTTGGTGTTAAAATTCTAATGGAGATGGGCTGAAAACACACTAGTTAGTTGAAAGAAGCAGAGCGGTGTTTCTGCAAGCCGTAGTCGGAGAACCTAATTGTAAAAGAAAATGTTTCAAACACCTAAAGCTCTCAGCATCGTCGCTGCTCACCACCACCCCCCAGCAGTAAATGAACAGCAAATCTGACCGGGCTGATCCGATAATGGTGAGACAGTGACCGGCAGAACCCGGGAGAGGGTCGTGCTCCCAAAGCGGCTCTCCGTCAGGAGCAGCTCACAGCGCCTCAGGATGTGTCACGCTTTTATTACTTTCTATTATTGACACTTTAAATTAGCGCCCATTCTTCTGACTACGAAACGGCTATGGCAGCAGAAACTGGGGCTGGAGATGCTTTTGTGTAAAAATGTGCATGGTCTGAAAGAAAAGCCAATTTTCTGGCATTTCAAGGAATGCTATATAAATTGCACTTGAGGAAAACTGCAGATATATTCCTGATTTTATAGAAGAGGTTGTAATTGTAAGAATGAAGTGTCGTGGGGACAAGGAGGCGTTTGTGCAACCAAGCTGAATGGATCAGGCAATTGCAGTATTAGAGGTCATGTAGAAAATGAGAGCTGCTGTTGTAGGGGCTTGTTCCTGTCACATTTAATGTTCGTTGAGCAGCTGTCCCGTTCTTATGTTAACCTGCCTTTCATCAAGCACAGGAACAGTTGTGCTTGGATCTGTTACCTCGGAGAGTCTGCCCTTACACCAGGGTGTTACTTTGTCCTCAGCAGTTGCCAAGCTTTGCAGTTCTGCTTCTTTCCTGTGAGGTTATTCCATGGTCTAGAATTCCTTGTTTTTCAGAAAACTTTCATAAACAATCTCTTTCCTAATCAGCACTTTTCTCATTGAATTCAGCATCATGTATTTGTTGATTCTCTGAGTGCATGTACACATCAGAGGCTTTGAAACCTCCTAAATCATAATTTGAACCAGAAACCAACTTTTATTTCTCTTCATTTGTGCAACTTTCAGTTTATTAGCATCGTTATGGTAACAGGAGCTCCAGAATGAATTTCTGAAGGAGTTACACCAGACCTGTGTTATGATTTGTCACTTCCCAGCTCAGTGCAATATTTCTGCATATGGATCAAACCACACATTTTGCAAATACATAGTTGATTGAAATCAAACCACCCAGATGGTTCAAGAAATGTCTGTGTTTTGATGGCATAATGTCTCAAAGCTTCAGCTTCAGATTTTTTTTTTCTTTTTCAATCCTGGTTGGTTTCTTTGTTTCTTTGTTTTGGTTTGTGTTTTTTTTGCCAGATTTTACTGCCCATTTACAGTTTATAATTTCATACAGTGATACAAGGGCAATTGTTCCACTACTTTTCTCCCTTCTCTCTTTTACTTGGCTGGATTTCTTCAGACTGTAGCCTGGAGTTTTTTCATTATGTCTCCTGGGCAGAATCGCTCTGCTATATGCAGTTTCAGGTGCTCTGATAAGGCATGTGAGACCAGTGCTACATGGTGGAAGCACTGGTGGAAACTGTATCCAGGTCCAACTTGGCAGAAGCTTTCTGTCTTCCACAGTCTGTCCTGCCTCCTCATCTCTATTTCAGAGGATGCAATGTTCTCAAGCCTGCTGGGATTGCCACTCATACGATCATTCCTAAACTCATTTCTCTCAAAATGACCCTGCTTATTTTAAGCAGTTTAAGGTGTGATTCCATGTCATGAGTTTCAGATCATCTAAACTCTCTCCTTCCATTCCCACCTCCACATTCCCATCTCTTTTTCCTATGCTGGCATTTTGCCCCATCTTGTATTGCCAACAAGACTGGTTTTGGCTGTACAGGTGACTGAGAGAGTTGGCTTCAGGACTGAGTACCTGTGTCAGGGGACAGTGACAGAAGTAATGCTGTCCCTTCTGTTCCTACCATTTCTTTCAGGAGCTTCAGAAGACTTGCTGTTCACTTTTTTTTCAGTGTTACAATTTGCACTAATTGTCCCTCTTAATACCAAATCCATCATTTGTTCCTGTATGAAATTATCCTGTCACTTACCCATTGAACTAGCAATGTACTGAACTAGTGCTAATTATCAAATTGATAAAGATATATATGATGCTTACAACAATATGTCTTTGAGTATTCCACAAACCCGTGACAGTGCAGATGTCAATGCAGTCTAATTTTAGACTTGACACAGTGAGTCTTCTGTTCATTAGCTTTTGTTCATTGTCTTATATCCAGCTTGATGATAATCCCCTGATTTATTTTGGATGGATTTTTTGTTAGCTGCTATAATTGTAGAATCCTTTGTATAGTTGTAGAATCCTTTATATTCCATTTTAGATGTAAGGCAAGTCTTTGGGGGATATGTTCATTGACCAGAAGACATTTGGGGTCCTTAGCCAGGTGTTTGCTTTGTAAGTTATTTCCAGCATGACTTGAGACACAGAAGAGAAGTGCCTGGAGCTGGAGAGAGAATCAGGAAGGAAGTTTACATCAAACAAGATCAAATTTGCTTGGATTTGACTGGTATGGTTTATGTCAATTTCGGTAGGTTTGTTTGTTTGCTTTTAGTTAATTAGACTCTAGTTGTTTTGACTCGAATAGTGGCTCTTATACATAAATTAATAAGGCCAACCTCCTGGCATTTGGCACTTCGTGCATGTTGTTATTGCCAAATCTGAAGCTCATAAAATGATTTTGTTGTGTTTTCACTCTCAGCCAAAATGATGGGTAACATGAACTTTATAACATGAACTATTCATTAATTACAATGGAAAATTCACTTACAAAATTTTAACAGCTTTTCTTTTCTTCACACAGAATTTAGTAAAGGAAGGGTTTGCTCCTGCCTCCTTTTCAGCCATCTCAGCACCCTACAGAAGAGGGCAACATACTTTTAGAGTACATGCTGTGTTTTTGCAGTCCTCTGCTGAAGTAGGGCATTGATGTGTAAGACTCATTTTACTTTTAATTTATCTTCTTGATGCTCACTATCAGGCTACATTTCCGTTGACTGAATAACTATGGAGTCATTATGAAGGCAATAAGAACTGAGTTACTACCCTTGGAAGTGATTAGTGCTGGATTTTTGCCTCTTAAGCCTTCAAACAGGATGTTACGTTAGTATATGCAATTCCCTTCCCTGATGTGCTGTCTGAGCACTCAAGCCAAGCTATCAGTGTCCCATTATGATTCATGCAGAGCACTAATCCCAATGGAACCAATGGAAGTAGAAATGAGACCACAAATGACAGTTTTCATTGCTGTGCTCCTTTTTTTAATTTTTTTTTTAATTTTTTTTACATGGAGTGATCCCTCTTGATGAAATAATAGACTATTAAGTGCAATCTAGTAGCCTGATTACTAGGTGCTGTTAAATCATCAGATCATGGCTGGTGTCCTTACTCCTCTGTCTTTTCTTCTTTTCTTGCATGTCTTCTTTGAAACACAGTTGGTTTTCAACAGACACATATGGTTCTCAGGAACACAGATGTCAGGTTACATGTGTGATAGGCACAGCTCCAAAATGATCATCATGGAGGTTTATCCCTGAAGCTGAATTTTCAGAGCTGAAGGAATAGTTTGAAGCTGAAGTGTGCAGCCTGGTTATGAGAATTACAGTCTAAACCATGCCTTACATGTGACCTTTGCTTTGGGAAATAAAACCATGGTTTTGAAACTGTCTAGATATGTAGAAATGAGGCAAGGGAGTATGGTAAATGCCAGTCAATGAGGGCTACCTCTTAGCTACCATATTTATTAGCCTCAGCCTGGTGCAAGACACAGGAGCCATTTGAATAGGACATTCACAAACCATCTGTCAGCATTGGCTGTGTTGGGCTAGTGAGCAGCAGATTTCTCTCTTACTTGGGTCATGTTCTTATCTTTTGTTTGTCCACGTTTTTGTTGGAGTAGTACTCAGAAGCCTCAAGTGAAGAAAATAACTGCACTGCAGACATTTATGAAGAGGTTGTTATAACTGCTAATGCTTCCTGCTCCACTGCTACAAACTCTGCCATAGTGGAGCAAGAACCTGAACAGTTTCTGAAGGAAGTGTGTGAGGAAATCTGAATTTTAAGCCTCATAAGGAAGTTGCTGGGAGAAATGGAGAGAGGAAAGGAGAGGAGACTGGGATTTCTAAGACTGCATCAATACTTTAAAGAGTTGTTCAGTACCGCATCTCACGTATATCTTGTTCATTCTTTGGCAGTCCTAAGAAAGCAGTTGCTGCCACTGCTGTTTCTGAAGTGGCTGATGCTGCAGGTTAATGTGCTTGCTGTATCCATCCCCTCATATGAAGGACAGGCTTGTGCAGAATTACTCAATATTTCCCAGGATGAAGAAATATTTTTAATATACCAGGGCATGACTTCGGATTGGACACCTAGGATGTCAGACACATTCAGAGGAAGACACTGCAACAGGTTTTCTGGTACACAGTTTGGTCATCCTAAATCCACTATATCCACTTCTGTACTTGCATTGAGACAGGCCCAACTGGTGATCCTGTAAGGCCTCTTTATCTGTGTGTGGAGACTGATCTAACATACCTTAAGAGGTACTGCTTTTTGCACCAAGGAGATAATCCAATTTCCAACTTCTGACTTTCCTGGATTGGCATATTGCTTTGTGTAGCCAGGAGATACAGACTTCCACAGCAAGTGTCTTAATTTTAAGCATGTATAAACTTTTCATGAAAACTTGGGAACTACTCTGACTCTGAGATGGCAACCTGAAACCAGAATTTTTCATGTTATAATCAAACTCATAAATCTCCCAAACTTCCACATTGATTCTACAGTATTACACTAAGCTTTTATTTCAAATCATTCTGGCAGACTCAGTATAACTTCCTCTGTTGTTTTAAAGAAAATATACTGCATGTTCTGCCACTACCATAAAGGGATCACACAATCTGTAAGGTCTTCATTTACTGCCATTCTCTTCTTTGGCTGAAGTGCTTTAAGGTGATGAAACTGGGACAGTCAAGGCTCAAGGAGAATTTAAATGATGTGTAGATATTGTGCTGGCCGTGTCCACTTGTGACAATTTTAGCCATGTGATTTCTCATTCAAGCTGCCTAGACCACCTCTATTGCCACGGCTTTGTGAAGCCAATCCTTGCAGTGCAACCCTCACAAAGCTGCAGAACAGCAGTGACAGCAAACATCTTGCCACCAAATGTGCATCATTTACCTGGGAACTTGAGATTCTGACAGATTTTGAAGAACTAGAGTGCATCTGGAAAGAGTGTGATAAAGATCAGCACAGGGTCTCATGGAATGGGAATGTGATTTTATAAACAAAATCTCTGTAAACTGTTGACTCTTTCTTTTTATGCTTTCACACCCACATACTGGGAAATACCAAAATGTGTGTTTTTAATTGGTCTGGCCAAGATCATGTGTGTGATCACACAGAGAATAAGGATGCTGTTATTCCTCATTGTGCCTCTGGGCTTCTTGGTTGGCAAGTGAACTGATTCTGAACTTGCTTTTTATATCTCTAGGAGGGAGTACTTTGCCTTCACCGTACTTCGCCTCACTGTTTTGTTTCACTCTTCACAAATCAATGAATTTCATGAAAGTGTATATTTTTGGCCCTGGACTCATTCTTTGTCTTGTTTGATACCCTATCTTTAGGTCAGTTTGTTCTTCCTCTCTGTCCACATAACTTTTTAACACATCCAACTGCTTCTTCTGGTACTTTCACACACAGACAGAGACACTTCCACTCTTACTCCATTAATGCCAATCTTAAAATTTTTTTCACATCACTGTAAAATAAACAAGTAGCTCCCCCTACCTCTCTGAACACTTTGTTCAAGTCCGAGCCTCACTTTTTATTTAATGAAGATTTATTTAATACAGCAGGATATCAAATACACTTAGAAGACTGTCCCAGCAAGATGTGACCCCATTTACTCTCTGACTTTAGGATTCTGTGCTATTCCAGAGGGTTATTAGTGGAACAGAGCCAAAAGGACATTCAATTATTTACTTAAGTCTGAAAGGCCAGTGTTTCACAAGTACAGAGTATGCTATTAACAAGGATGAATCCTTTGGCAATGTATCCTTTCTACTGCAAAATACTTGCCTAGTGGTACCCAAGACCCTTATTACAAATTCATGAATGATTTTAATGCATCCTGGCAGCTTTCAGAAGCATTGCAATCATGTGGAAGTAAGAAAGGAAATGAAAAGATCACTGGTTTGTGCAAAATAATACAGCTATGCTCATATTTGATCTAGTTGTCTAGTGGAAAAGGAATAATTGAACTTTTTTAAAAAAAAAAATTAACAGACATTTATATTACATTCCATCTCACCAGTCGATTTAGAAGTCTTGTTCACATAAGAGATAACTCAATATAGATCATCAATAAAAGACAAAGGATGTCTAAAACGGGCACAGTCCTTGGTGTGTTGGAGGAGTTGTAAAAGCGTGTTGTAAACCTCAACTACCCCTTTCCAGAAAGTAATACACTAACAGAAAAATCTAGCTTTCAAGTCCTTTCATTTCTTCATAATATTTTGAAGACTCTCCCCAAATTGTGGGTTTTTCTTAGAGCACTCTCAGCTTGGAGGCAGTTTTTGTTGCAGAGACAAAGGTGTCAGAAAGGAAAGTGGATCTGAGAGTGAGCAGCATTTTTTTTCCGTGGGGCAATCTGGTGCTAAATGATAGTGGCACTTGACAAATAACATTTATTGTGGTACATGCTTGAAGAAGTATCCAGTAGCTGATTTCTAGTACAGTTTTGATAATAATATTTTTCCCATTAAGCATCTGTTATGGAAACAAAAGAGATATTATCTGATCACAAGCCAGAGAGGAAGCATTGAATAGGATGCATTGAAATGAGGACTGTTGTGTATAACACAATCAACCCTGATGTAAATCCAAAACTAAAGATTCAGACTTTCAAAATTCTATCTCTTATTTCTATAGAGCCAAACATAGCTGAGCTTTGGATAGGGCTCCTAAATGCTATAAAATCTCTTCCTTCTGTAAAGAGATCAAATTTGTCCCACTTGCTCAGATTTACAGAATAAATTGATTTAAAGAAAGCTTAAAAATAATATCTCTAACCAGTCTTTCATGAAGAAATAATTCAAAGTTTTACAGTTTGCTTTGACACTGATAAATTATATCAATCATCATCACAATTGTCTTCAGAATTATGCATCTTCCCTCTCCATTCAGTCATGAGTAATTTGCATGGAGTGGTATCAAAGAACAGTGTAGTGAAATTACCCCAAGGTAGCTAAACAGTCTGAAAAAATTAGGCCTGTACATAAAGTACAGGTAAATTTAAAAAGGTTCCGCAGACAAGAGACCCATGCCTGAAACAGAGCAACAAGCCAGTAAATATTTAGGTTTATATTTATTTACAAATGTTTGTAGCAGATGGTTACCAACATTTCATCAGTGTGGCTGTTTAAGCAACTTAAAAGCTGTAACAAACAGCCCAATTTATGTAGCAGCTCGCCTGCTTCAGCCCACTCTCACTTGCATTACCCAGAATGGCTCCCATTACAATTCATCACAGCTAAGTAGCTGAAAAAGGAAATAGTGCAAAACCAGGAAAGCAGCATGGTTGTCCAAAACTAGAGATCAGTGGTCTCCCCATCACAGATGCCTGCTTTGACAGATACTTCTGTGCACAACAGTTTTCAGAAGAGTTCTCAGTCTCCCATGTACACAGTGCACCTGGGTTATTACAGCTTTTAGAGACTAGATATGCCAACACTACCTTAGGTGCTAGTTAGGTATAATTTCACCACTTTCTTTTTAAGACAGCACATTTAGTAGATGAACTAAGGTGGTCTCTTCTTTCCCCACATTACCCTCCTTTTCATACAACAGCCGAGGTGGCTTGGATGGGGTGATGGCTGACAGATGAAGGTGGCTACTCAAAAGGGTGTCTGTGACACATTTTGGTTAAAAAATACTGTCTGAAGAAAAGAGATAGAAATGAGGGTCTCAGCTTAATTTCCCCCAAAGAAGGCCTTACACCTAAAAATAATGCATTTAGAATTGTCATATAGAATATACAGTTTGGTATACCTCCTAATGAAACGGAGAGCTGGACTGCTCTCAAATATTTAATTTGTTCACAAATTCAAGAATAAAGATTATCTCTTCATAGGCAGCTGGACGAAACTACTAGTGATGCCAGTGTAGATAGAAGAAAACATCAATTTTATCACCATAAAAAGGATGGACAGTATAAGTAAACACTGATTTAAAAATGGAAACAGGAATGCTTGATTTGTAAACATTTATTGTGAAGCATACTTTCGTGTTTCTTTGCTGGCAAGTGGTAAGGAAAAGGGTAGTTGCTGGTTAAAGAGAATGTCACTGCAGGTGGCTCAGAGTAGAGTGTACCACCATCATTTCACTGTCTGACGGCCTCAGAAACCCAGGCCTCAGACTTGGTGTGGTGTGAGTGCACATCAGTGTCTGAGAAAGTGTTATTGACTGTACATTTGCACTCCTTTGTTCTTCCTGGGGAAATTCTCTCTACAGTGACAATGTGCAACATCATACAAACTAAAAGGTTGTAGTTTATGCTGATTTAATTGATTAGGTTTAAATTACTAAGATGCTGAGAATAAAAGGGGTTTTTTCCTTTTCTGTCTTTCATTTATATGTGCGCTAAAAACAACTTTCATAAGAAAATCTCTTAAATTAGGAGTGATGTGCTTTAAAATATTCTTTCTGTGTCACTTGCCACATTCCACAGCACGTTTCATATAAGACCACGCTGTGTATGTTTAGATACGATGCTTGCCCACAGTACACTTTGCTGAGGTCCCCCCTCAGAGCTGAGGAGCTCCAAGCTTGCACATTAGCCCAACGTGGGAACTTTTCCATGTCACAGCGTGACTGATGCTCCCATTGACTCGTTATTGCTGTACCCATTCGTGTGTACTGGAGCATTGAGCCAGTACCTCTATGTGTGCCAGGACCTGCCATTGTGCCACCCATGGGAGCCGTGGCATGCCTGGGAATGACAGGGCTGTGGGTCAGGGATGCAGGACTACTGACACTGGCTTGTCTGAACCCTCACTGCAGATCTACCCAGTCCTAGAAACAGACAGGCACTGCGTTAGTTTTGGGTCTTAAAGCAGCTCCAGACTGAAATTGCCAGACTGAGGAGGAGATGATGGATGTGTGCAGGCTGAAAACTGGCTGGGAGCCCTGAAAACTCTCCAGTGTAGACATCAGTGCTTTGGAAACTTTGGCAGCATCTCCACTTACCTTCCACCGAGTGCTGAATCATCCTGCTCAGCTGGGATGAGCAGCAGCTGGCCGGGGGGGGATGCCAGGGATGCTGCTGTGCTAAGGGGCAGTGCCTGGCTGGGGCACAAGGTGAGCTTTGAGGCTCAGGGTGAATTTTGGGGTTTGGGACACTCTTGATTCCTGGATGGGAGCACAGACGATCTCCCACCCACACAGGGCAGATACCTCCAAAACCAGGCAGAGCCAAACATGTCCATATCAGAAAAAGGAAGATTCACCAGACACCATGCAGGCAGACTTACGTGGTTGCCCTTTTCTCCCTTTGCTGCAGAGTGGAGCAAGTGCCCTGCCATCTCTTGGGAAGCAGAAGCTGTGGGCCTTGCTGCTGGTGGATGCAGCCAGTGCTGTTAGACTTGTCTTAGAAGTACCTGGTAATGACATATTTAAAATACATCAGATTACATTTTCATTAGTGTTGGCACTTCTGGAGAGAGAGGAATGCTGAGTGGTGATCATTATTATTGCTTTAACAAATTGTGTCTGTGCATGGCTGCCACCTGCCACTCTCAGTACTGTGCTGTAAAGAGAGCCCTGGATTTAAATCCAAGTGGTGACCTTGTTATCAGTTCCATGTTTTCGAAGCCCACAGAAACCTGGACCCAAATTATGGAATTTAGAAATAAATACAAAAGAGGTTTACCTTATGGTTTGAGTTCTAGGTCTTTATAATCCATACAGGCAATTTTTCGTTTTTCTTTCCACAGTAGGCTAAGATTTTAGTTACAGGAAGAAGGAAAGGAAAGGGAAAAGAGGGGCGGAAAGAAGAAATGAAGAAAAGGATGGAAGAAGGGGAAGAAAATTAGAAGGGAACGGAGAAAGGTTAGAATAACAAGCAAGAAAAAGAAGAAAATAAAAATAATTTCTATGGAACAATGGCAGGAACTGTACCTTTTAGAAAGTAACTGGTAACATAAGTGACAATAGTTCTGTCAAAATGTGGCCCACTGAACAAATGTGAAAGACAAAGTAAATGAAAATATGTTATCTAGCAAATTATGGACATTAACAGGGTTGTAAAGCCACCCCATTCTCTCCTCATTAATTCCATGGCTTGAATTACTGAACTTGAGATTTCTTGTCCCCTCAGTACTCATGATTCTTGGGACTCACAGCAGTCTGTGTAATGGGTCACCCCAGTATTTTATTTTATTTTATTTTATTTTATTTTATTTTATTTTATTTTATTTTATTTTATTTTATTTTATTTTATTTTATTTTATTTTATTTTATTTTATTTTATTTTATTTTATTTTATTTTATTTTATTTTATTTTATTTTACTTTCTGAAATGACAGGTGGGAATTCAAATTTTTACACTTGAGTCCTACCTTTACTTTCTTACCTATTGAATATGCAGATGCAGAAGGACAGAGTAATTTGGGATCTCTGGTTTCCCTAGTTGGCTGAGGGTCACAGACATAATATCAGAAGTGGAGTGGGGAATCCATGAATAATTGTCTGGGTGATGCTATGAAAGTAAAAAATTATTTTGAGGAAAAGACAGTGCTTTGACCTTTGTCTGGGTGCCCAACTTCCCTAAGACTTGTCCAGGCAATCACCTGGGTCAGCATGAAATATGGCATAGATTGTTTGGAAAGTGTAGCTTTGAGTCTTTATGCTGTGTAAATCCCTGCATTCAGCAATTTAACAGGGATGTCCAAATTTGCATCAATGGCAAGATTAGCCATGTCTTTAATTTAAAATCCAAAATCTTTGTCACAAATCTGGGGAAAATTACTCCAAACTTTGTTCCTCAACACTGGGAAATGTTGTCATGTAAATGCAAACTGTGGATTGGCTGTGGTCAGAGGTTTGTGATATTCATTGCTTCCATTTTAAACGTGTAGAAAGAATGGATTATGTAGTTGAAAGCCTGATAATTCTGTTATCCTTGTTCAATTTTTTAGCACCATCTGTTCTTCTGAACTGGAAATTCCTGACAAATCATATGAGCAAAAGCTTATTTTATTTCTCCATGCAGTAGGCAAACCATTAGAATTACCAAAATCTGGTTGGGCAAAGAAATATGTTTATAAAATGATTGGTTTAAGTCTTTGTTTTCTGAGAAAATGACTTTTTAATGTACTGGCAGCTGTCTCCCTTTGGCATGTTTTCAGTTTAACAGTTTATGTTAGAGCCAGATCATTTGTTTCATAACCGTCTGTAGCGTAACAAACAGCACTTTTAAGTCTCCCATCAGCCCAAATACCATATAAATGTTATCTGTCCCAATTGCAATACTTTTCCAATTGCTGTTTTCTTAATTGTGCCTGAAAAATGCTTAAATAATATGGTCAGATGATAATCCTCTTTTAAGGCCCACAGGGTCATCTGAAACATTTGGATGTTTTTATTAGGTCATTTTTATTCAGTCAAGGAAGCTACCCAGCACATTAATGCCAAAAAAATAAATAAATAAATAAATAAAGAAATTTGCTAAAGTAGTTCTAGAATGCTTATTTAAATCTTTCCTAGAAAAAAAATAGTGTTATTTTCTGGTCCCTAGACCTTCCAAAATGTAGCGTGTTAGGCGCTGTGCAAATACAATCTGAATGTTTACAGGCTAAATTAGGGTTTCAGTGCAATGTCCTCATACTTTTCTTTCAGATATGAAAGCACTGGGCTTCATGGTCTCCTTCTTCCTTTTGTATCCAGTGGTGTTCTGTGGACCCAGACTGGTTTTGTGGGTTTTGTGAGTGCAGAAGTCTGCACAGAGTTAGCTGTCCATGCTTCCATCCCTTGGGAATCACACAGGACATCCTCACCACCACTTTGGTGCAACACCTGCACCTTGGATTGAAATTGCCACAGGAGTGGCAGCTGGAAGTGAAACAGAGAGAAGCTCTCTTTTTTTCATCTAAAGTAGTCTTTTGACATTTTATCTCCTTAACTGTATACTGTGGATATGCAAAAGCAGTCTCAGCGTTGGTTTAATATTTCTGTTATTGGCTGATGTCTTAAGTTATAGGTTTCATATCTTCCAGATTCTGTACTGCATTAGTATATAACCCTGAACTTCACAGAAGGTGTTAGCAAGTTCCCTTCACAGGGTAGTTAGACAATACAATCCTTTTCTAGCCTGAGAACCAAGGACACTGTTGCAGCTTCGGGCCCAAAAAATACAAGCAGCAGCGAATTGAGGAGAGCAATCTGGGAGGATGGGACTTCATAACCTGAAGCTGTAATTGGACAATTAACCCTAATAATGAACATGATGTAATGTTCATAATGTAATAATGTAAATGAACAAAAACTCATAAAAGTGTGAAAACTCATGACTCAGAATCCAGCTTGAGTCCATCTTGGGTCCATCTTGGGTATAGCCACAGCCAGGCTCTTGGACTGCCCAAGGTGTATCCTTTGAAGGCCTTTTTAATAAATACCTCCTTTTTTCCTTTAACACTGTCTAGCCTCTCTTCCAGATAGCCTCACAAGGCATCAGGCAGTGTAGTGCAACCTCTCCCTGTTGCTTAGGAAAGAGAGAAGAATATAGGCCAATTGATCTGTAGTACAGTCTGATGCTACCAATACTCATTTGATAAGGGTTCCTTACATCCTTTTGAAGAGATGTTACTGATTTTACTAATTGATTAGATCCACTGGTTCCATTGTAGAACCAGAGCAATCCTCAGGCACCTTAAGGCTTAAAGATGTTCTTTGATCATAACAATAGCATTTGTACCATCTCCTAAATCTCATTCTTCTAATAAATTTTGCAGCCAAGTTAGGAAGGATCTACTTAGTAAGTAGAAAATTTTCTTACAAACCACATAGTAAATGTTGCCAGTCTCTGAAGTATTTCTGAGATACATCTGTGTCCCTGATTTGTCCCCAGGCTGTACGCATTTGGAACTGAAACACATTCTGTGTCACAATAATGTGCTTATGGACCATGTTAAAACAGAACAAATATTAAAACCTTCACAAGTCTTGTACCACAAATGATAGATGCATAAAGGAGGAGAAAATACAATCTTTCTCTAGGAAGAAATGTCGGGATAAAACATCTATAAGGGAAAATGTATCTGGAGGGTGGCTTTTTAGGTGAGAAGCTGAAGTCCCATTAAATAAGTATATGTTGACAGACTACTGCCATGGGCAGAAAAGGTGGTTTGGTCTGTGGCTTCTGAGATTTTCATTATAATCTGTAACAGTACTGATGTGATACTAATATGAAATGTGGAGTTACAAAGGCAGAATTACCAGGGTTGTACTGTGCATTGCATAGAAAGGGAAGATCTTTTAACCACAGAACTCTCCATGTCAGCCAGGCTGATGTTCAGTGGCAAAAGAAGCATAATGGTCAGAAAGGTAGCTATGGGACTTGTGTGAATATCCTAGATGATCCAGCTTAAACTTGAAGACCTCCTAAGTAAGGGAAGTACATGTTGCATTTGTTATTTAATCTATCTCTTTGAGTTATTATTATTAACCTTAGCAAAGATCCACTCATTTTGGAATCTGAGAAGCTTGTATGTATTATATTCTGTGTATGTGACATGTCTTTTAGAACATGAGCTCATATTATTGAACCTCTGGGAAAACATTCCATGTAAGCTATTTAAGTTGAAGTTGCACCTGTATTTACCTACAGATACATTGCAGCTCTCATCGCAACATTCTGTCTGTGGGAACCAGAGGGGAGGAGACACACGATTCATCATTAGTGCTTGCTCTAGTTCAGGTACCAGAACAGCACACCGGGAGTGTGCTCCCAGATGCTGTAACAGAGGTGGAAGCAGAGGTAATCTTCAGGGCTAACAGCTTTATTGTGAAGTCCCAGCTCTCAAGTGTTGGTAAATGGAGGAGCTGCTGGCAAGACCGTGTGCAAAGATCTCAAATCTGGCTCATTTTTGCTTCCTCTCTGGCTTGGGAAGCTCAGACTCATGGTATGTAGGCAAAGCACTCATGTCTACCTGAGCAAGATTCAGTTCTGGGAAACTCTGTCAGCACAGTGGCATTCAGTGTGGGCTTTTCTCCAAGTATCAGGGGATTGGTGCAGCACAAAATGGGACATAGCTCTCCTGGGTGAAAGCAATGCTGAGGAGAAAGCTGAAATTAAGCCACAGTATTAGAAACAAAAATATTAATAATTCTGAGTACAATTTTCATAGTTAATAAAACCTCTTTGATTCAGTGTTTTAAATTGTGGAAGCTCTTGCAAGATGCTCTCAGCTCTGAAGTGTGTCCTAAAGTATTTTTTCATCTATTCAGATGGCAGTGGAGTGTCAGGAATGTCACATTCTATGTGTGCAGATGTGTAATAGCATTCATGAGCTTCTGTGATGACACGGGTTTTGTTGGAGCTCTCTGACTATAACAGATCTCAAATAAGTGATTGTTCTGAGTAAATTGTCTATGCTATTGTTTTCCCACTGCAAACAGAACAGATCCATTTTTAAACAGGCTGGATAAAAATGACACAGAATTCAATGTGGGGAAAAAGGACAATTTCAATTATATTTTCCCTGATATTTCCTGAACTCTTGTCATATTTCTTTTTATTTTTTTTTACTGCATGTTTCTTTCTATTCAAGAACAGACAAAGCTTTGGAAAATGTTTCCTCCCATTAATAAACATAGGAATAATACACAATCATTCACTTTTTTTTTTATCTCTTACACAGCTACAAAAGGGGCAGAGCTTGGGATAAGGCATAACTTTGATAAGGCTTACTCCAAGCCACAGCTGAAGAGAGCTTTGCTTTTGTTTCTTAGATTTCAGATGCTAATTGCAGCAGGATACTTGTCCAATGCATTAGTGAAAGTCTCCAGTAGGACAAAGGTGCTTCAGCAGTCAATATTCACGGTTGAGCAGATGAGCTGAAGCCTCAGTATTTTACTGGGGAACTTGGAGCTGTCTGCCTGATGAGCCATTGAGGGGGGTTCATGACCTCTCTTGGTCATTAGAGGGGCCGTGTAAAATTTTGTGAGGAGAGGCTGTCAATCCAATACAGATGACAGCAGCCCGACTTGAAACTCTCACTGCAGTTTCAGCCAGATGCAGTATTGTCTTAGATTATGATTTACAGGACATTTACAAGATATTTCACTTCAGAGCAAGCAGAACAGCAGCAGCAAGTAGGGCAGCATGCCTCAGCAAGGTCTCATATACGTGCACCCTTGGAAGAACAGCCTTTGGAAGGACCATGATTTAAGAGACACTCTCTTGCCCAAATAGGCTGCTGATTTTGGGGATATCACAGGCCACTCTATCCACCTTTCAGCTCACTGGCTTTCTGTCCACTTGGCTCCACTCCCCTGCTTTTGGGACTGCCTGCAACCTCATCCATCACCAGCACACAGAAGCATGACCTAGGCCAAGATGGAGATTTTGGGCAGCTTCTGGCTAAGCAGGCAACTACTTCTTCCCTAGCATTCCCCTCGTCCCACAGCTCCTGTTTATCTGAAACCAGGTGGTGCTGAATGTGCTGCTGCTGCTGCTGCCATGAAGCAGAGGTTCTGGAGGGAACCATGCTACCTTTTCTTTCCCTATCTTCTTGGAAACACTTTCCCCAAAGCACTGGGGTTCCTGGGGTATTGCTTCTGGTGCAGAGGCGTGTAGTGTTACTCAGGGAAAAACAAATGTCTGAGGCCAGAAAGGACCCACACTCATGTCCTTAATTAATGCAGTGCTTAGAGACTTCTGTTCTACTTAATAGGACACTTAAGAAATAAAAGACATTTATGTTCTAGAGCCTTCTGTTTTAAACTGCATTGTCAGCTAAAATGTGTGTATTTTTAAATTTAGCTTTCATACTATATCAATTATGGACCCAGTCACATTTTCCCTGTGGTAATACTACTAAAGTAATTCTCAGCTGAGCCCATAGCTTTTTTTTATGTCTTATCACTCTTAGACAACTGGACATATGCAACAGATATTATGCATGTCCTGGAAATGAAGAATTATAGGAAAGGGTTGTCTCATCCGTGAGAGTGACTAAGTATTTTCCTGTTAAGAACATCAGACTCAGATTGTCTTTTGGAGTAACTCACACTCAAAAGGTTCTCAAACCACTTTTAGTAATCCACTTTCCCTTTAATAGCCCCAAAGTGCCTGCATTATGTTCTTTGTGGATTCAAACTTTTCTATTTTAATTGCAGCAATTAAAAACATTAGCTCACAGCCACAGTTTGGGTGGGGTGAGAAGATATGCTCGTTGCTCCACATTTTACTTCAGTCTATTCTGGGCAGCACTATGAGCAAATGTCCTGTCTAAAATGATTTTGTTTTACTGAAAGCCTATACTGCTTCATTTTGTTTTCAGCAATATTCCTGCCCATTGTTGGGTGTTCCTGTGAGAACGAGATGCCATCTTGTGGTTGGATTTTCATCTCCCAAACCTAAGCTGGCTTTTCCGACAAACTAGTTCAACTGTCTTGACAGCTTGAGAATGCAAAATAACTAAACCTGCATTTTTAGATTTCATTATGAACTCAAGTCCTTCACTAAGACCTACAGGCTTTTACAATAAAAGCTGGACAAGTTTCGAGGTAAAATTGCCTGCTATTAATCATCATGTAGAATCTGACATTTGGAGATAATAATTTTTTAGTTATTGAAACAAAATGCTGATGATAAGGGCAAATTCTTTTTTTCCAAAGTCGAGCAAACATGTTAATTTTGGGAAGTGTAATGATTTTGTGCGACTGCTTGGAAAAAGGTGGTGCAAGTATTATTCAAGAGGAAACTTATGTTTTCCATAATTTAGAGTGATATAAATAGCAGCTGGGACAACCTCATATTTTCCACCTAACTTCTCAACCTCAAGTGCAAAGCTGAGTAATAAGAATACCAAAAAGCAAAATATGCCTGGAGTATAAATTTTATAGACTTTGGGAATACTTACTCAAATACAGATTTTTGTCCAGTTAGTTATTCAAATGTTGCCCATAAAGTTAAAATCTATTGCTTTTGAGCTGCTACTCCCTGTGTTCTGATATATTTTGTGCAATATAAAGATCCACTTTCTTATTCCATCTTCTTCAGCAAATGAAAGAAAAGCCAATGGTATGATTGCAGAAATCTTCTAGCAATAGAGGATAATTGCTATCAAGGTTTCTTTACAAGGACTGTACCACGAGCTCTGCAAGCGGAGCAGTAGAGCCCTAATTATGTCAGAAACAACTCCAGTTTCTGGAACAGCTGAGGAATGAAAGCAATAACATGGATATGGTGCTGCTTTACCTCCCACTCCTTTTAGGCTACAAGTTCAGTCCAACTTGGTTCTAAAATACAATTTACATATTTTGGACCTGCT